GTTAACGTTATTTTTTTTTTTTTTAATGTGTAACATATATTCATCTATAGGTAATTCGTGTTCTATTACGTTTTGCATGCAAATCATAACGATTAATGTGAAAAACTGATTTCCTTTTTATTCGATGCTTTTAAAAATACACAACAACCGCAATAATATCAATAAAACAAACCCGTATACGTGTTTATTATTGAAAGCAGTGCATTAGTATAAAATGACACTTTATATGGCCCCGTTTACGGTTGAATGCTTTGTATTCATTTGATGTACAATTTAAGGACATATATTTCATAAAAATGGAATAACACTTTGGCGTGAAAGTAAAATAAGCTAAATATGACAATATCTAAACAACCAATGGGCTATCAAATATTTTTTATTTTTAATAGGCAAAAGTTTTTGCATCAATATTATAATCGTTATGATGATTATGTATAAATATAAAACGACTTAGAATCGTTTTCTACTTGCGTGCTAAACGAAAGGAAAAACACAATGTGCTCGGCAATGAAAAGATATGTAAATAATTTGGTTTATATATTGATAAGTACATAGAACCCACGATTAAATATTGTACTTAAAGAAAATGTTTAAATGAGTTTTTGCATAAAATATTTTGGTCACGCCAAGCAAAGTATACCATTACTACTATAATATGCGCATTTTTGCTGACAAAGGATCAAATAACCATAGTATAATATACTGTAGTTTAAAGTTTTAGCTTGCTTAATTATATGTTAGCAAAGGTTTTTTATTTACTTTAGAATTATTCGACAACTTACTTCAAATATATAAAAGAAATTAATCGAGTAAAATAAGTGTTATTATACATTGCAGAATTTTTAAAAATAATTTACTTTTCTATTATAATAATATGTTTGAAGAATTCAAAAAAAAAACTATTATTTTTACATTATGATTGTATTAAATATAAATTAAATCTAAATCCAAAAAGCTTATGACATTAATAAGTGATTTGCGAAACAGTTGTTTTACTACGAGTGACATTAAGTATAGTATGAGACGTGAAACGTTATCATGAGAGCAAAGGATAACAGATAAGGATCAGCTGATATCTTGTCGAGTATTTTTCAATTGAATAATTTATTTAATACCAAATTGTTGTTTCTCTAATTTAAGCCAGCATTAATAACACTTCATATATCTTATATTTTATAAGTCAAACATATTGTGTTTCCTTCGCAATCTCTATGCAATAGTCTTATAAAAAAAAAACCATTTCAATTTAATTTTCTTTGAAACTCGCCTGAGGATAGCTTAGGTTTTTCACGTTTGAAGTTTTCAATACCGTTTTCTTAATATATATATATATATACTTAAATAAATAAATAAAACCTTATATGTACATAAAATTCCACTGGCCACGAAAAAGAACCTTGTGCTTTTATAGTTCATCGACCCTGTTGTACATTTATAATATATTAATGTCCGTAGAATTTATTTGAGTTTAACTATGCCTACATGTTTAGAGGCTTTTAGGTTATTAAATTGTGCCTAAAACTCGAGTTACTGATCTGTGTACATAGCTGTAATTATAATCCACAATTAAATATGTCATGAGTATAAAATGGTATATGATAATACAATGAACGAAATCTGTATAATTAATTAAACAAATATTTCGAATAAAAAATTCTATATAATTATGACAAAAGCCATTGAATGAGAATTAAAAAAAAAAAAAAATCAAAATTGGCCACTTATAGGGGAATTGTCTACAGCGTCTGAAAGCCAGCAATCTAGATAGTTAAATAGTTACATTGAGAACCATTAAAGAAAATGGTCGCTTTTTAAAATTTAATTAAACATTTGCTGTGCATTGGATTTAAAATGGGCAAACGGTTATTTTTTAAATCCTGGCCATTTATCCCGCAAACAAAAGTAATATGTATTTATTATTTAGCAATGAAGAACAAAACATTACAGTTTTATACAAAAATGAAACGGCATACAGAGTTGATCGAATCAATAACACATTTATTTATAATACATTTTATAATTATTATAACCAATATCATAAAATATTCCAATCGCTATTAAGGGAATTTTAATAATTTCGTTGTTAGCAGCAATGCAGTAAAATTGCATACCTAGTGCGCCGTCACTTTATTTTATAACAATATATACATAGTAATAATTACAATTATTGATATAACACCAATATTAACGTCTCGTCGTAAAAATGCTTCTGGGAGTTATTACTAAGAGGGCCCCAGACTAAAAATAAATAAAAGGAGGCCGAACAAAAAAAAAAAATGTTTAATATACAATCTGGCAAGATATACATAATAACGTCTTTTGCTCACAATTCCGATCTTTTAGGCACAAGCATTTCTCTCCTTATTTTTTCTCCCATTACTATTCACTACGTGACGTTATTAGACGCACAAAAGCGTCGTAGAGATAAACAAGACGCTTTTTTGCTTCATTTTTTTTATTTATTTTTTTTATAATTGAGTTCCCTTTTTTAGTCCGGTCATTAATCAGAAAATCTTGACGCGTGTTCTAACCACTGACATATCATACGTGTACACGCATAATTAAGAAAACACAACTTTATTAATATTTACATATATATATATATATATATATAAGAGAAATATAAGAGTCTACTCAGTCTGTAAAAGATCTATAGCGACTTAGTAAAATATTTCGCCGCTATTGCTCAGCGAAACTAACCGACATTTTGTTGCGAATTTGACAATAGGGAACGCTCCCTAATTAACAGTACTAATGCTCGTTAAGCTACCCCAATTCGTAGTAATAGGATGGCGGAAAGATAATGGCGAAACAAAAGATGGTAAAAATACATTTTCTCACAGCCTGTATAGGGTTAAACTTAATCGACATTCATATAGGATCTCATCGAGAAGTGTTTTATCAGATGAGCCAGTTTCAAAATGTTTTAATTGTTTTTGACACATGACGGTTGTTTGGATGTTCTTCGACTATTACACGACACAAGTCTTAAAATTATTAAATGTTATATAAAAGTGAATATAATAGAAAACCCCGTATAAATATGACTCAAAACTTAATTTTGTTTGGCAATGTTCTTTTAAAAATCAAACAAAGGAAAGAAACGTGTAGTAGTATAATTATGTGTAGAGTTGCGTATTTTTATTAGTTATAAAGATATTTTCTTAATGAGAATTTTTCCGTCAAAATTAGGTTAACATAATATTTGATTAATGAATATAATAATACTAAAAATTGCTTAATGATTATTGCTGAGATCAAAACTTTAGTTATAGTTTGTATTATTAAAAAGTTATTGGTTTAATTGGAGTCATTGTAAATAAACGGATCAAAATATGTAAAAAAAACTTATTTATTCTGTACACAGTTTCATGTACCAGATCGACTTTGTAGGTCGGATGGATTAAATGACTGATAAAATAATACAATAATAAAAACAAAAGAAAAATGCAAATTCGTTAATTGATTGCACGTGTAATAAACACATAACTACAAGCGGCGATTTATAGGTAAATAAAGACATTGCAGTATGTTATATAAATAAAAATCATTTTGTTATAATGCAAGCATTTAAGAAAAAAAAACTATAAATTTGATACAACGCGTTGTTTAATCGCACTCTTTGGAATTACTCATTAACAATTTAGAACATTAGAAAAGAGATAAAAGAAATGATTTTAACAAGGCCCGACAAAAGGAGACGGGGGTATAAAGTTTTGGCACAGTTTTTTTGCTACCGTGGAAGGTACTTAGGTTTCTTGCTTGCATTATACAACGCTGAGACATACACACCTGGGCCAAAAAAGTTGGACGAGTGATACGGTCGGGTGAGCATATTAATTTCCAACAAATGCCTGTAACACGAATGTTGTCGAGGGACTTTTTTCCCGGTTATAATCTCACGAATAATCCACCAACGATTCATTTACCATACAAGAATTACCATAAACGAATTAGTATACCGAATACATACTCTTTATAAAATATTATTTGCTCCATTGCCGGTTTCTATAAAAAAATCACAAATAAATTATTGTAGCACGGATTCTTTTTTAATTAAAACAAACAACTTTTAATCCATGACCGAGTCTGTGGCATTGAGTGGATTTTGTATTTTTTACATGTCAATTGTACGAATACCAATTTTATTTTTAATCTCGCACAGAACGTAAGATCTTATATTTCTACCCTTTTTGTAGGAAAATTGTTTCCTAAAATACTACACTCTCATTTTAAGTCTGAAACATAATCATCTTGAATTGGATCTTTTTTTCTCTCTACAAAAAGCCTCCAGTAACGAAATAAAAGTATCATATATCATATTTTTACTTTTATTTCATAAGACATCAAACACCTTCTGTCGTCGTTTCGAGGAACAGAATTCTCGTTAAATCATCTCGTTCTTTTGAATCAAAAAGTAATTTCCAACTCGTTAAGCATTGATCATCGACATCAATATTTCATAAGCTTAGTATCTACAATATTGGATTATGGTGATAGATAAAAGAAACATTAATTTTCAGGAACGTAATTTATAAATTAAAATTAATTTAAAAAAAAAAACATATTTCTTTTTCTTTAAAATATATTAAGACACATACTCGGTTGGCAAATCATTTAATGCACGAGAAAAGTATAAGTTCTGGATATTTATATAAACTTTTTTTCTGCGGAGAGCAAACCTCGTGATTTATTATATTAGCCTATTTTCGGAATGAAGGATTGTCTTGTACAGTCGTATTTACCAATCCTTAAACATTTTGTTAGCGTCTAGCATCTGGCAAAGGCCAGTTTTATTCAAAAATGTCAAATAGGTCTACCGTAATAAATAACCTGCTACTAAGTAAAACGTTGGTTTCTTTTGAGCACAATCTATAATTTTCCCTTCTTGACTAAAACCCAAATATTATGACATCGGAAATTATTGTCATTCGGGTCACTGCTGTAGATTTACCTACCAAATCTCAACAAAAAAAAACAACACAAAAATACACACTGACCTTAAAAAGAAGATGGTGTATCCGTCCAGCCAATTCGTTTTCAAATTATATTTTCTTTTCTTCGTCTCATCGTGCGGTGCTCGCAGTTTTTCGATCCAAACTGCAACGGGAAAAAAATGGTTCGTTTAATGTTTAGTACATTGTTTTTTCCCTATAGTTTTCGTATTGCGGAGTCACCGATTTTTTTTTTTTTTGCGTATGAGAAAACAATATAATCTATACCCTTAGGCACAAAAATGTGGCATAGTCATTAATCTCGATTAACGTTGGTTCCCAAACATTTTCCCGCCTGAAGAATTTTCGGGTATTTTAACTAAGTACCTCTCTCGGCCCGGGAAAGGACCCTCCTCTACTGTTTTCTCAGTCGTTCCTTTGCAACGTTCCAAAAGGTCGGCTCATTAATTCAAAGTTGTCTTACGTACAACGGTCGCCCAAACGGTAAACAAGCGGACAATTTGTGGTGCAACTAAACCGTGAGACTATAAAATCGGTTTCTATCTGTCTTTATTCCAGTCCATTCGGTGTAAGAGCTAACAAGGAGGAGATACATTCTCTAATGTACTATCCGAGATTCAAAAACGGCAAGGGTGCAATGCGCTATCTGGGGTTATATTGCGTTGGTATTTCCATAATATTTATTAATTATTTAGAAAAAAATACAATTTATTTTGGAGATGCCCACGAAAATAATTAATTTCTTGGTACAAAAAAATCGGATTGTGAAACTTTCAAACATTAGCATCATTTAAATATTTACATAGCCGTAGTGTATAAGTTAATAATTATATTATTTAGAAAATGTACACAAGTGTTTTACCTACTCACAAACTATAGTGGTATGCGAAATATTTTTAATATAAAAGCCAAATGCCGTGAAACCATTGCATACATTATTTTTTATACTAATTGTCACTATGAATTAAGATTAGAGCCACTGAGAAGTACCTAACTTTCTAGTTCTATGAGTTTTTTCAAGCGGTGTCTCTTTACAAAAATGCTAAAAACCGACTATGTACACTACTTTGACGATACAATTATATAGGTCAATCATACATAAGTTATGCATCAATTATTGGTATTAACTTCATTCATCACCCACAAGAACTAATAGAATGTGTTGTTATTAAGATGACTATAACCAATTCCAGTTGGTTTTACTCACACACTCAAGACATTAAATGTTATTTACATAATTAGCGGTGCCTCTTTAAGTGTTTGTGTTAAGTAGATTGCCCGAATTTCGAAAACCTTATATCTTACATCTTGAGGGTTGTGGGGACGTTGCTCACACAGCCGTTGCTAGTAGGCCTAAAATAAGCCAAACGATTAACGCTACGATTGTGTGAAAACCAACAGACATCAACACTTACTTGAAAATGCAACGCTTGGGAAATTAAATTATACGTTTTATAGCTTAGTCTTGAATTTAAATAATTTGTTGACAATGTATTACTAATGTAATTGGTCTATAATCCATATACAAAAATCTCAAAAAAAAAAAAAAAGATAACTCAAATTATTTTATATTTAATGTATACACAATATGCACATATATTATAATATTTTATAGCACACTGCATATTTTTTCTGGTAAACGAAACGCAGCTCATAAATGTAACCTGTATAGTTTTAAAATCTTCAATGAAGAAACCCGTTAATGAGAGATTATCCTTTTGGGAAATGTTGGAAATGTTCCAGGACCTTTTTTTCTAATGGAGAAAAAGGTTGTAGAGATTTAAATGGATATCTGAAAACTTACAACTCAGCGTTTCTACTTTTTTTTTACTTGATAATTTAAAGGACTTACAGTAGTAATAATATTGTATTACATTAGTAAGAAAAAATTAACATTAAACAGGTTTGTTCCAAATAATTTTTTAATAAATTTACTAAATTACTATTTTATTTTTAATTAAAAAATATACATATATTTTTCATTTTCACCGGTTTATTGTTCAGGATTTATTGTTTAATCTTTACAATTCACATACAAAAGCCTTATAAAAAGTTAAAAATTATTTATTTTAAAATACTTTGTTCTAAGTAGGTATATATAATAATTGTTCTTAGAATTTGTTATAACCAAGAAATATCAAAAGTCAGGTAATAATATTTTTGAAGGTTTACCACTATCTGAAAAAATAATAATTTGACAAATCAACTTTTGCCCAAATAGCTACATACAGCCCTAACAGAACAATTTTGATTAATTGTCTTAAACCATATTAACTACCTGAGAGTTTTAAAATATTTTTATATTTATACGTTTGTATTATAAAACACTGTTGTTGGTTTGGACAAAGCAAAGCTGTAAATCTATGTATTGATAACTCGATTATTATTGTAGACCGCAGTGAATATTTGAATTAATCCGTAGCTTTACAGCACTAGCAAACTAATTAAACAATGAACGTTTATCTGATACGATGGAACTCTGAAATCGAAGAATGTTTAATACGGAAGTATTAATAACGGTAATGGGTTGTAGTCGGGAGGATTAAGGAGTACAATTTGTGAATTGAATCTGTATTATATTACTAATGCGAGAGGTTTGGAGATGTAAAGGGTAAATCTGTTGTTCATAGTTGTGTTCATAATAATTATTTCCTATGGCGTTGAGAGGAGGGTAGATGCTATATTTATTTTTAAACTATTGCAAAAAAATGTGATTAAACTGTAGAAATTCCACATTCGATTACAACCGTGTATTAACATTTGAAACTGCAAATATAATTAATTATGGTTTTAAACATACTTTTTAGGGTTTACCGCTTACAATAATTGTAATTATTACAATTTGCAGTCATTTAAAGTTTGATAATTTGGATGATTTGGATTTTAAATTGAATTTTAGAGAATTGAAGGAATAATAATTGCATAATAGATTTAAAAAAAATAGTATATATAGTACTAGTATTAGTATAGATCAGAAATCGTAACTAAGAGGTACATATTATTGGACCGAAAATTTAAAAAGTTCATCTCTTTCCTTTTAAATTGAGAAAAATGCCCAACACATATTTACATATTTTTCAACTTAAAACTACGGCGTGCTACAACTTTTTAAAATTAAAAAATTAATTCCAATTTTTTATGGAATATAAGCCGATACACGTTGGCAAACCAAAAAATTATCATAAAAACTTTCCCCTAGAAGGGGTGGAAACTTTTACTTTACTTCTCTTTAAAACGAAGTTTTAGGACTTAATCTCTGAAAATTTTACTAAAAATCTTACACAAACCTTTTTTTCTTTAACAAAATACCAAAAATAAAGGGGAAAATTACACTCGAACTGGTAAATTTCTAGGTAGGCGATAGCTATGACGTGTAAGTAGACCAACAGTCAACGGGTATTTGAAAATATTTTCAATTTATTGTTAATTACTAAACATATAATGTAAAGCACATTATAGCTTTTAAAGTGTTTTTATCGATTATTGTATTTCTACCATCTACAGATTCGCATCGGAGCGTTTATTTTAAAGTGATTGAATCACTTTCAGCTGTAGTAATTCGGATAGACCTGTAACTTTCTCTGTTCAAAAAATGCACTATCCTCACTAAAACTGTAATAAAAAAAGTCCAGAGTTGGGCAGGATTATTAATCCCGGATTACTGGATTACTTTTTAATTAATTCAAGTAATCCAAGATTAATTAAATTAAAAATAATCCGTTATTCCAATACGTTGGATTAATGGATTACAAATAATCCAATACGGATTACAATTAATCCATCATGGATTACAAAGAATCCAAAAATTCAGGATTACTTGGATTAAAAATAATCGGCTTAGAAGATATCGCCTCCAGTAAAAATAAAACACATTATTTAAAAAACAAACAATACCTCCCAGCTCCGCATAAAAGTAAAAAATGATTTAAAAACATTTTAATTGTTAACAAATCGTTATTTAAATACAATTTTTTTGAATTACTGGAATAAAAGAATATCCCTGGATTGATAATGTAATCCGTTAACTAGGGATTACTGGATTAAATATAATCCTTGATACAAAAATTTAGGATTACTGAAATATATGTAATCCAATTTTTTTATTAATCGTAGATTACGAGTAATCCGCAATCACTCTGTAATCGATTACGGATTGTAATTCATTTCGCCCATATCTGATTATAGGTTTTTTTTAATACAAATAAAACGTTTGGTGTATTGAGTATTCATATACTTAAATTCATATATATATATAAGATTTCGTCCGACGCAAAATGAATATATTTTTCATAATATTCTTAAAAATTGATATAGCAGTATTTAAAAATTACTCAATTTAATTATTCAGTTCAACTAAGCTAAGTTTTAAAAATCGCGTGTCAAATGGAATTTACTATATGAATAAAATAGTAAGCCGATAGCATCACAGAAGTCGTTACAAGTAAATTAATTTACCCTGTACCTATTTAGTTAACTATTACTTTTTAGTTTTTATAACCGTTAAATTCAACTAAGCGCAAAAAATTGTTTTTCCATTTTGTGTTTAATTATATATATTTTTAACCGCTATTGGCTAACTAAAAATACTAGTATTAAAGGGAAATAATCAGTGTTAAAAAAGAACACTTAAATGAACTATTTATGAATTATCTTTCAACATGCAACAACCTACTTAACTACGAAAATAAAACATATATAATATAAATATTATATAAAAATAATAATAATAACCTATTACAAATTGCCTTCCCTGTAGGCGCCATGACTTTGATATCCAATCATATTATACGTATGGTTCTTTGGAAATATTTTTGTTATATTGACATTTTAGTATGTTATAAAATTACACATGTTGTTCGTCATTGTTTTTTTTTTTTATATTCATGTAACATGAAATTCCAAACAGCACAATAGCAACTGAAAATTACAATGGAAAAAAAATAGTGATTATGCGATTTAATGTTTTCAAATACGGCATACCTATGTAAAATTGTTCGTGATAAGCAATACCGTATGGTTATGGGCGTAGTTTTGTCTAGCTAAATCCGCTTAAAACCACCAGTAAAAATGTTAAGATATGCAATTTAAATGTATTTGAAATCATGAAATCTGTGATTTTTGTTCCAACAATTCGTGACTATAATA